ACATGTTTAAGGAAAAGGAAAAACTAAATATTTTAATTTCTTGACAAAAACATGTTTAAGGAAAAGGAAAAACAAGAAACATACATTTCTGCAATTATTTTTAATTATAACGCAGAAATGGTGTTACGGTGCTTCTATGGTGCTCCATAGCAAATGTCAGTGAAAATATGCTTTTTTATGACAGGTTAAACAAACCAAATTATTGCTCTTAATTTTTTACTGTGTAACTTTACAAATGGCACCCTACTGTGAGTCAACCATGTTTATGGGCAGCATTTTGTCTTCTACACACTGCATGACTTCTTTAAATCTTTGGTTAAGTCCACCTTTTTTCATTTTAGTGGTGGGAAACCTGATGCTGCATTTTAGTCACAGCTCTCTACTTCACAGTATCTGGCAGGATTTGCTACTGAACTGATTCATCAGACTTGATGTAGCATTTTATAGCTAGATAGCTTGATAGGCTGGAAGACTAATATCATACTCTCAGTGCAAAACAAAAAATTCTACACAGTTAATTGATTTCATAATACAGGGTTGATAGTAAAAAAATATTTCAAAAATTTACAATAAATATGGTTTCATATTAGTTGACATATGAAAACAATGTAAATATGGGAAGAATTGTTAAACATTTATCAAAAATAACTTTTTGTGTCACTTTTTTCAAGAAAATTGCAAACTGCATATCTAGTAGGTTTATCGTTGGATTGCTTGGTAGTGGCTTCATCCTCCACTAAGGTATTCCACGGTTTCAGCACCAAAATTTAAATTATTATGATTTATTATTATTATTATTATTATTATTGATATTATTGCACACCAGCGATGGCTACTTCCTTGTTGAAGGAAGCTATACCCATTGCAAAGCCAGTTAGTTCCACTTTTACATTTTTTTTAAATTAACACATTAATATAAATTAAAATAAACATGCCCTTTAGCTATCTGGTGAATTGGAAGCTCAATCGGAAGCAAACTTCAGCTTTGTATTATGATTCAAATAGTAAACTCATCCCTCTTGTCAGCTGTTCTTCCCCAGTCATCATTATTTAGTGCAGGGGGGCCCAAAGTGGGTCCTGGAGGCCCGACATCCTGCATGTTTTAGTTCTCTCCCTGGTTTAACGCACCTGGATCAAATGATGGCTCGTTAGAAGGTCTAAGAGGAACATTGACAAGCTGGAAAGGTTGTTTCTACCACCAGGGAGAGAACTAAAACATGCAGGATGCCGGCCCTCGAGGACCCACAATGGACAGCCCTGATTTAGTGTATGTAAACCTTTGGTTTCAACTGCCGTTATGATTGTCATAAACAATTTATCAAAATAGAAAAGAAGAATATTCTAAGCGTGACCAGATATTCCAAAACAACTACATTTTTTCATCGATGCTTTTAAATAAGTCTATAGTAAGAAGCTCAGGATAACTTGTCAATCAGAAAAATAAAATAAAATAAAGAATAGAACCACTGTTACATGCTTGGTACTCAAGCATAATTAAGGTACAATGAAAGGTCATTGCTTACCCAAAATTATCTTCTTAACGAGAATTTTAAAAACATTCGGTAACACGAACATGATTTTGTAAATAATGACACTTTAATGCAAAGTTGGCACTTTCAATGGACTTTTAAAGCAACTTTGCATTAAAAGTGTCAATATTTACCGAATGACACTTCATGACAGCAGTCAGACATTCATAAAGACTCCTTCATATTTATGACATTGTCATGTCAGTCTTATGCACACCCCATCAAATAAAGCGTTACCAAACATTCTGTTTTTCACTGTCAAGTTGCATTATGATGATAATTGATACAAGGCAGAAAATATTTTTTTGCAAACTGTCAAGGTGACTATTTTAAAACTTACAGTCTGGAGCTGAATCCTCAGTTGGTTGTTGGTAAATTTTAGGGATCTGGCAATGGCTTGAAGATAATATATCAGCATACTGAAACACAAATGGTAAAAATACAAATGTGTTTTAGAAAAAAGAATGTTGCAGCAAGCGATGTATGTATTTTTATATATAAAGAAACACACGCAAGCACACACCCAGAAATGAAGGATTCCTCTGGTAAGAAAAAACATGCATGCGTGTGTGTGTGTGTGTGTGTGTGTCATATATGAGACATGATTTTATTATCACATGCAGACTGTTTAATGTCATGTTAGTGTGTGAGGCATCTTACAATAGCAGTAGCACTGCTGGCAGCACCACAACAGGGCTGGTGACATAACTCATCACTTTACTGAACCAAAGTGGAAAGTCTGATGCCACTGTATCTGAGATGATGTCATAAATCTTCTCCTGGCCACTGAAACACACATTTCACACTTTTACCCAAATTAGCTCTTTCAGAGGAATTATAAAACATGCAAGACTAACAGATGTTAAGTCAATTATATATTTTACAACTGTTCCATTCAATTCAGATTTATTACATAGCACAAATTCACAATAAGTTTCTATCAAAGAAAACTGATTGAATCTAGTCATTGACTAGCAACATTTCCTCCTCCTGGAAAATCATGAAGCGACAACAGAAAACTGCTATTGTTGTGTTGCTGACTTTACAGCAATCCCTCATACAGAGCATTCATGTAGCATAGAGAGGGAAAGCTCCTCTTTAATAAAACTTTGTCATGACAGTATGAGACAGATAATTTGTGGGGAAAAAATCAAGTTCCTCTGCCTTCTCTCAGTGATCCCAGTACTGACCGCAGTGATACACAGCTCAGTCAGAAACAACCAATCAGAGCCAATAGGAAAGTTTTAACATTGTCAATCATGCTTGTGTATGTGCTACACATCCTTCCCCTCAATAGTAGAGCCCATGAATCATCTGGTTAATATTGCAACCAATGACGGTGGATCAACAGTTCTGGAACAGTAAGTTGTATCCATGCAATTACCAAATTGAGCAGCATATACACAGGACTGTGGCAGTGCTAAGACCTTCCTCTAGCTTCTGATTGGTTGTTTTTACCAGAATTAATGCATTTCTGAAGGTAGGGGTTAGGGTTAATAGTAGCTCAGGCAGAGGATGGAGGAGCTTGATATTTTTCACAGATTACTGTTCTCATACCTTACTGGTGTCAACATGGTGACAGGTTTAAGAAATGTGTAAAAAAAAAACTGTTTTTTTTTTTTTTATTAAAACTTATATACTGCAACTTTAACAGGAAGAAACCTCCAGCAGGACATGGCTCAGTATGAGTGGCCATCTTCCACGACCGTTCACAGCTGTTGATAACAACAATGCTGTGTGGTATTCTCAAAATGAAGAGTTTTTTAATGGAAAAAATAAACAAAACATTAGACCTAGACAATAATATCCTTCAACAGCAAATATCTGTTTGTACAGCTTGTACAAACAGATGCTAATGATCTGGCAAACATGTGCCTTCTGATTTTACCTGAATGGTCCACAGTGTTCCGATGGTCTATATCGCACAATGGCAAAGATGGTGGGGAGCATACACAGGAACAGCATGAAAAGTAGCATAGCCAAGTAGAAATTATTTGATCTGAAAAAGCAAAATAAAGTTAGCAAAGAGCAAACTGAGAAAAATTTCATAAAATTTTTATAAGCAAACATGTTGAAGAGGGTTGGTTAGTTATTTTCAATAGGACGCCGCCAGGAATCGTGGGCCCCCTGACAAAAGATGAAATTGGGCCCCTGGTTCAGCTGCTGTTACAATTTTTTGAGTCTAT